CCAAAGTGTATTGGTGTATGTAAGCAATGTTTTGGGTCATATTTAAAATTTTGAAGTTTACAAAATAGCACCCAAATTTTCTGAAATTTATAATTTTGACCCCTCACTTCTTTTTATCTTTGACATTCGGTGGGATTGTCTTGTTAAAACCCAATTAAAACTCCTTCTCTGCTCTACTCTTCTCCTACCACTTCCGCGTCTCCGGCGAAAATCCACTACGACTGACTATGGCGCTTGAAATCGAAGCTCGAGAGTAAGATTTCGCTTTTTTATCAATGCCCTAGTTTTCTGTTTTAGGTCGCACTAGTTGTGCTCCAAGAATCATCGTTTACGAATGCTCAGACGGATCTTAGGGTTTAATTTTTGGAGGAATTTTGCACCTGCACTAAATTTCTGGTTTTTAATCGACCCATGTTTTGTTTAACCATGATTTTTCTTAAGCTAATTCCTTCTGATTTTCTTAATTTCTCCTTTTTTTTGGAAAAGTTCACTCTTTTTCTAGTTAATGATTGTGAATTATGCAATGACAGTAATATTAGCCATTTATGTTGTGAAATTGGGTGAAGAAAATTGTGATGCTCCCAATTTTAGTCACTAAGATTTTAATGACAGTACTGTTGTGTGTTTTATACCTCAGTGTAATAAAGATTGTGCTTCAGTTCTGCAAAGAGAACTCTTTGAATCAGACGTTCCAGACATTACAAAGCGAGTGTCAGGTTTCTTTAAATACAGTAGACAGCGTCGAGACGTTTGTTTCTGATATTAATAGTGGAAGATGGGACTCGGTACTGCCTCAAGTGTCTCAGCTTAAGCTTCCCAGGAATAAACTAGAAGACCTTTATGAACAGGTTTTGTTCTCTTTGTCGAATTTATTTCATTGTATAAACTAGTGATTGTCATTGTAAGCTTTGTTGAAGAATCTGTCACTTGATTGCTAAATCTCATGGAAATTTAATTTCCACTTGGGGATGATTTATTCAGATTGTATTGGAGATGATTGAACTTCGAGAATTGGACACAGCTCGAGCTATTTTGAGGCAGACTCAGGTGATGGGTGTCATGAAGCAGGAGCAACCAGAGAGATATTTGCGGATGGAGCATCTTCTAGTCAGAAGCTATTTTGATCCGCATGAGGTATGGGAAACTATATTATGATCGACTATTTGGTATCATGTTGAGTGTTCTTTATGTGGTTTCTATGTCACCTAAGATCGTTGTCCGCAACTGTTCTGCACTTTAAAAACTGTTGGTATATCTACAAAAAAAAAAACTCTATATAGCTTGCTTTCCTCTGCTCTGATTTATTTAGTATCTTCAACTGTTGGTATCCTTTCAAGTCTTAAGTAGATCCAGTGAGCCTAGCATCTGTTAGATATGAAGTTGTTTCTAGATAAGGGTCTTAAACTAGAACATTTGTGAGTACAAAAGTATCTTTCCATTTTACTACCTCTTTTACATGTTGATGAATTTGACTTTTCCATCTGATTAGTGTTTTCAGTTGCATGGTCTCTCCTAGTCATTGTTTTATGCATAGCAGTTGCTTTCACGTATGTGTTTGAAAATCATGTTATGCTGATCTTCATTTGTTTTTAAGGTTTATGGCGACTCAACTAAAGAAAGAAAACGTGCACAGATTGCTCAAGGTTGGCCGTTTCTTCTTTCTTTTTACTAGAACGTTCTAATTTTACCTATTTCTAATTAGTAAATTGTTGAGGGATTAATTACCTGAAGGAACTAAGTGATGCTCTGGAATTTTCTCTACCACAGGCTAAGAATATATTATGACATGAAAAAAGTTATTATAAGAACTTGTATCCTGTTTAACGGTTACTAAGTTTTTGGTTTCAGTATGTACTCAAGGTTTACTAATTGGTTTTTCTCCTTCTCTGTCAGCTGTGGCTGCTGAGGTTACTGTGGTACCGCCTTCACGACTAATGGCTTTGATAGGTCAGGCTCTAAAGTGGCAACAACATCAAGGTGAACATCTATGGAACTGTACATACTATCAAACAGTTCTGTAGAATTTTAAGTCAAACTTCATCTCTTTTTAGTTCAATTTTTGTCAAACAGTTTTGTTGATTTATGTATTATCACTCAAATTTTAAAAATTTTACATACACCTGTGTGTTTGTGTCAGGTCTGCTTCCTCCAGGAACTCAGTTTGACCTCTTTCGTGGGACGGCAGCTATGAAACAAGATGTAGAAGACACATATCCTACTATACTTAATCATACAATAAAGGTTCATATTCATCACCGCAACTTTAATAGCTTGTTAGCTTAGTGGTGTATCATCAGTTTGAGTTCTATTCTAATTTTCATATCTTGTTCCTTGTGCGGATGCAGTTTGGTACAAAGAGTCATGCCGAATGCGCTAGATTTTCTCCAGATGGACAATTTCTTGTATCTTGTTCTGTTGATGGTTTTATTGAGGTGAGTTGATGCGGTATCTATCTGTATGATGATAATACACATTAAAAGTCTTAAGGGATATTGTGACCAGGATTGCTCAGACTTGAAAAACATTACAGGTGTGGGATTATATTAGTGGGAAGCTGAAGAAGGATTTGCAATATCAAGCTGATGTAAGTTCTCGTGTCTACTTTTCATGTTTTATTTTAACTCAGAACGGGGTCAGATGAGCTGTTAGTACATTTTAAGCATGTGAAAAAATCGCGAAAAATTCCTTACTGCATCTAATTTTTGAATGGGTGACAAGTCCATGTGAATGATATGGGGATTAGATTACTTTTTGCTTTTTATTCCAAAAATGTTGCCCATGAAATTCCTGAAGCACCAAGTTTCTCCGCCTGAGACTTCGTCGTACACAAAATACCTAGCTTTGGATAGAGAATACTCATTCCATCCTCTTTACTTATCATGATTAAATTCTTCCAGGAAACATTCATGATGCATGATGATCCTGTCCTTTGTATAGACTTTAGCAAAGATTCAGAGATGCTTGCATCTGGGTCACAAGATGGAAAGATTAAGGTAAGTTCAAGCTGCAAATGTTTTCTTAAAGTCGAATTTTCATGCCAGGAATGATTCCTGGCTTTTCTCATTATATTGTTTTCTATCTAGAGATAGACTATTGCAGCAGCTTGGTAGATATTTCTTCTTCTTCCTCTCATTGGTCCCATATAAATTCTGATTGTGTAAAATAAGAAGAAACATATAAATTCTGATTGTATAAAATAAGAAGAAACTAGACTTAGATTCATGTCACTTTTCGCAGGTCTGGCGTATAAGGACTGGTACTTGCCTTCGTCGTATTGAGCGTGCACATTCCCAAGGAGTTACAAGTCTTTCCTTCTCTCGGGATGGAAGCCAAATACTGAGTACCTCCTTTGACAACACTGCAAGGTATGAGTAGTTATATCTTTTTCTTTTGTGTTTGCAACTGGAATCTCTTCCAAGCAAAAGCTTGAGGCTCTTTATCTATTTGATGGTAGAATTTTATTTTCAACTTTCTTTTGCATCAGTTCTTACTTTCTGGTTTATTTTTCTTTCTTCTGGTAGTTATGCTAGTACTGATTGCTGCTTAGTAGAGCGTGTGGTTGAGTGTAATATCAAATTCACGTTTCACTTTTGCTTCATTTTATGCAGAATCCATGGTATGAAATCCGGGAAACTGTTGAAAGAATTCCGCGGTCATACATCCTATGTAAATAATGCCATCTTTACAAGTGATGGAAGCCGTATAATCACTGCCTCCAGTGATTCCACGGTGAAGGTACATTGTTATTCTTAGGCCTTGACTGACTATTGTTGGCAGTATCAGTGTTTCGCATTTGGACTCGGCCTTCTCCCGTGTAATAGCATTCTTATTTCCGTGCACAGGTCTGGGATTCAAAGACGACAGATTGTCTAAACACATTCAAGCCACCTCCTTCATTAAGAGTAACTTTTCTCTTACATATACATCTTGTTATGCTCTTTCTGATCTTCTGTGGCTAAGTCAACTAATTTGTTTCCAAAACTGTGTGTTGATACTTAGGGAGGTGAAGCTTCAGTCAATTCTGTTCATCTGTTCCCCAAAAACACAGAACACATTGTTGTGTGCAACAAGACATCATCTATATACATCATGACGCTCCAAGGACAGGTGAATTTTCCAGCAACTGTCTCATGCAAACCAGTGTAATCTGTCATGGCAAAACTAAGTTAGTTCACACGGTGCTACACTGTAATCCTTTTGCAGGTTGTCAAGAGTTTCTCATCCGGTAAGAGGGAAGGAGGAGATTTTGTAGCAGCATGTGTATCCACAAAAGGCGATTGGATATATTGCATCGGTGAAGACAGGTATTACTTTACCTCTTTATCTGTTTTTCACACTTTTGGATGAATTCCAAGATTTTTGTTTTGAAAGGCCAATCGTAATGGTTCCTATCTTATCTGTTTCCATCCACTGCATTTGATGCCTCCTAACACTGCTCGGCAACTACTTACAGGACGTTGTACTGCTTCAGCTATCAAACCGGTGGACTTGAGCATTTTATGACGGTAAGTTTATGCCTGTAACAGAATTGTAGTGTGTAATACTCCAAAAGATTATGGCTTGTTGTCCAAATCTAAAAATTGCATATGACACAAACACATAACATTAACTTACTCGAGTAATGAAGACCCTTGTGTTTATACATATTCAATACAATCTATTCTGCATTTAGAGCTCAGACTATCATCCTGTCTCTCAATATCTCAAGTTGTCTGTTTAGTCTTTTATTGGACCTGGTTTCTGAAAAGCTTATGTTTATGACAGGTGCATGAGAAGGATGTGATCGGCGTGACGCACCACCCACATAGAAACCTCCTCGCTACCTATGGTGAAGATTGCACGATGAAGTTATGGAAGCCCTGAGTTACCTCATCATCAAACTTTACCTTTTGTATGATTAAATCTCTGACTTTGGTTGATTTGCAATTGAAATTACACCAAGACTCTTCCTCCTCGGGTTAGAACTAGTGTAAGTTATGTGAAACAATCTTTTTTAGCCGATTCAAAAGACTACTCAGAGAGCCTTGTTTAAGATTTAAGATTGTTTCACATGGCCATGTTCGCTATGTCACAGTTTAAGGGTCAAATCTCAGAACCTTAAATATTACAAGAACTTGAAGTTGAACAGATT